TATTTAATAAAATTATTTTTATTTATTTAATAAGTAAATTGTTTAAGATACAATTAAGATGGATATTTGATTTATTAGAATTATTATAATGATTATTAATGTTCTTTTTCTTTTTATAATTGAACTTGAACTTGATTTTAGATTTGATTTATGGTTTTACATCTTATTAAATTTTTGCTATAAACTCTGATTATCGGAATTAATCCATTTTTAGTTATTAAAATTCTAAATTTGTATTGTTGATCTCAGAAATTGAAATTGGAGAATCTTTTATTAATACTTAATCTATGAAATTATTGATCTAATTAAATGATGACTAAAATGTTAAAATTATTAATTATTACATTAATATGGTTTTCTAATTCTTATTTTCTTAACATTACTTATTATGATGACATTATTTCTAATTCTATTAAATTTTATTTAATAACTATTATTTTTTTTATTGCAAAACTATTACTTAGATATATTGATATAAGACGTAAGATGAATGTTAAAAGCCTAAATATCAACACAAATAAATACTTAAATTACGCTAATTTTAATACTTTTTTGGTTTTATTTTATAAAATCATTTAAGTTTAAAGTAAACTATCCGAACAATAAAGAACAAATGAATAGAGCGAATGAAAAAAAACTATTAAGTGTGTGCTATAACGTTTAGGAAGAATGATAAATTTAATTAAAGGTAAAAAAAAGTATCAAGACATGCAATTAACATAATTCTTCCGAAAATTTTAAGTAAACCTAAATCAGAAAGGTGAATAGAAGAAATATCATACTACAATAATAATTAAGGGACTTAAGAAATTTTAAAATATAATTCTGCATTATTCAAAACGTAAACAATTATCATAAAGCATTTCTGGACTCCATTTAAATATTAATTCAAATATTTTTGATATCTTCTGTATAAATGGTTCTTTTAAAATCACTACTCAATCTCTGTTAATAAATTATTATGATTTTATTTTAGCATGATTGATTTACTCGTCAAAAACTTCATAATATAACTAGATAAGGGATTTAACAAAATGAGAAGATTTTTACATTAAATTAATTTAGTAAATTTGAAAAGCAAAATATTCAAAATCAAAATATTATAAATTAAATAACTTGAAATAAAATAACCAGATATTAGATTATTTTCTTAAAATCATTTTGAAATCAATTATTTGATTTTTAATAGAGCTATTAGTTTGTTCATTTTCTTACTAAAGATTAAATACCTTATCCAGCTGTTATTAAGAAATGGAATAAAAGTATTTTTTTCTTTATATTTTAGGTAATAATAACTATTTAATAACGTTATCGAATTTATTAGATTGGAAAACAAAATGAACTTTTATAACATGATCAAACAATTCGAATTTAACTTTTATTAATAATTACAATATTGGTCAAAATATTTGTGATAAGAAAATGTTTATACTTAGAAAGTAAAATTTAGGGGATTAATCCTGAAAGTATTTTTACTACTTGTGGATTATGATTATAAAATAAAAATATTAATTGTGAGAAAATAAACATTTAAGATTTCGAACTAGATTCAAAAAGTGGCTAAAAACATTATATTTCTTAGAAAAAGGAAGAGC